TATAATGAGATTTTTACATAGCTATGAAAAATCTGGAAATCTATGCTTCCTATGGTTATTTCTTGTGTAAAAGAGGAGTACATAGGATCAAGAATTAAGTCATTTAGTTTAGTATAACTCAAGATATGAATTTTTAAAGTTTATCATGCAAGCTGAATTTTATGTACTCGTTTCCAGCAGCAACTTTAAACTTGAATAAGTCGAGATATATGCATGATAAAATTATGAAACTTTTATGACATGTCTAAATATGAGTTAAGAATATGACTGTTAAGTTTCATAATTTAAAGATGAGAAATGAATAAGTTATGAATATAAGAAAGCATATATGTAAAGATAAGTATATATATGCAAGAATATTCATGAAATGTTTAAGTTGTTAAAATGAGATGATCATGAGTAATTCTCATATAAGTGATGAGTAATTTGATGAAGTTTTAGTATAATATGTTGAGTATACAATTTTATAAAGATTGTATTAAGTATGACATATTAACATGATGATTAAATGTTATGAGTAAAAGATGATTATGGCTTGAGATTATTTTCACTTTCAAGTTAATTAAGTGAAAATTTAGTATAAGCCAATATCTAAAGATTGGAAAATATGATGTATGATGAATTAAGTATTTGATCAAGTTAAATTAAGATAAGTTATAAATCATGTTGATGATGTTGATAAAAGTAAGCATGTTTTAAGTTTAAATACTCAATCAAGTATAATGTGGAATATAGTTATTTTCACATTTGAGTTATGACATGCTAAGTATAATACCATATTGATGTTTATGAAGACATGATTTATAAGGTTAAGTAATTGACCTTAAGTAAAAGTAAAAAGAGAAGTTAAGTATAAACTTGAGAAAAAACAAGTTTAATGAATTTCTATAAGATTTGGATAAGTTAATAATCCTAAAATTCTTATTGAGTATACGAGCATAGTACTTAGTATAGTTGTTTATATTTGATGTAACTTGCAGATACAATACCAGTACAACACTTATCGTTTTTCAAATGATTTCGAAGACAAAAAGGTGGGGACCCTGAATGGGTATCACATTGAGTACGATATTGATGTCATATGGGATGAGGAGACCATCAGTTGTCTCAGAGTATATCCTAAAGTTATAAGTTGATTACGCTTGGGAGGAAGGCCCCAAGTTGCCTTACAAGTACCTCCTAAGTTCTGATGGAGGCCGCCAAGTTGCCTTAAGAAATATTCATCAGAGTGTGCACACGTATCCGATTAACTATCGGAAAGAGAAGAGAAAAGTTTAAGTTACCGATCAAGATCGGTTTATGATTATCCATATTCGTTACTCACCCCCATGAGTTTTAGTTTCAGGTAACAGGTCGAAGAGGAGGTGTGAGTGGAGCAGTGTTGGTGTGGATCGTGGACTCAGATGAAGACAAGCTTTGATACGGACATTTATAACAGTCTGTATAATTAACCACGTTTTCAAGTATTTCCCCTATGCACATTAAGTATTGAACTTGCATTTTAATGAATTTCAGATTTCAAGTTTTTACCATTATGAGAAATATGATTATGGTATTTTAAATGCAAGTTCAAAGGAAATCTATTTTATTTATGTCTAAAGAAGTATTAGACAAAAGTTTAAAGATAAACGGATTTTCAAGATGATGAGTTTGAGTAGCATCCCGAGTTAGTCGCAAAATATTTTGAAAGAGTTAAGTATTTTCGAAGTAAAAGTTGCGAAAAAATTTACTCTGATAAGCGGGGTGTTACATCGGCTCTGCCTGCGCCGATACCTATAGCGTCTCCAGATGACATTGCTCCATGTTTTAAACTCGCTCGTTGAATCGCGCGATGTAGTCCTTAAGGCTCTTTTCGGCTTCCTGGACTATGTTTGTGATGGACTCTTTCGGGACTAGGTTAACTTATGACCCAATGAAGTGTGACCTGAATGTCGACCTAAGTTATCCCAAGTTGAGATGGAATGTGGGTAAAGCGAATGGTACTTCCTTTGTGCTTCCCTAGAGTGAGGGAAAACATTCTGAACCTCAAAGCTTCTGTTGCTCCGTGCAAGTCTATCCACGCGGTGTATAGCCCGAGGTGGGAATCCAGGTCCGAACTCCTATCGTAGTGTCCGATCTGGGGAACCTTCACTTTCGCGAACCGCTTCCTTGAGAATATCCAGGGAGAGAGGCAACACGTTGTCAACAACTAGTGCGTGCGACCTCTGATAGGGGGAAAAGACGGCCTCCCTTAGGATCTGGGTCGAGCCCACAACTCGGCTATTTCTCTTCTGAGGGCTGTGACTTCATATGTATCGCGTCTGACGACTTTCCCTCTCTCTATGACCTCTCTCACGTCACCATCGGCCAGAATTTTTCTGCCCAAACGTTGATGGACGGACTTGCGGGCGTGCGGGTTCGGTCCTGATCGGCTTTCGCCTGTTTGCTCAGTTCGCAATAGACCGAGATCCTTCTCTCGGCGATTTTGGGCTTCCCAATTTGGGGACTGCGCGGTTGTTCAGGATTGGACTGGCCAGGTGTTCGCCGGATTTGCTGTCGTGGCCACGGTAGCCGCCCCGACCATGTGATCTGCCACCGCTTTGGCGAAGGTAGATTTTTCAACCAACCCCCCAATAAATGAGGGTTGTGGCCTATTTATACTATTACAAATCTGGCACTGTTCATTTACTGTTCATCCCGTCACATCGTATATTAACTAAGAATGACAGACCTGGTACCGCTCTGACGAGCATTAAAAGAGATTTGAGGTTAAACTAATGATTGTATGCCAGACATTAAATGCACACGTGGGGTACATTTAATGCTGACAGGCCACCCTGTAGTCCTATGTGTGCGTCCCATCGACCATCATTAGTCGACAAGTGATAATATTTTATTATTTCTGAGTCCTGGGCGTACGCCAGGATCTGACCCCATCGGTTTTTCAGATCGGACTTCCTCCGCAGCTTTAGCTATCTCCGTCTTCTGATCCTCTAGGTACTCTTTTTGTGTTACGTAGTTATGGAGGTTGACCTCGTCCTCCTGGTGCCAGGGCGCCGACCTAAGAATATGTTCTACGGCATTGCTCCTAACAACTTTGTTCTTTGTTTAGTCCGGACTTCCTGCCACTCAGATGCCGACCCGATTTCGAGGCCGTCAGTATTCGGACTGTTGAACTCATCTTATTTGATGTAACTCTTTTGTATGTCCAGGGACGGATTTACTATAGGCCTGGGCTGGGCTGAAGCCCAGGTCTGTTACTTATTTTAACCCTTAAATGCTTTAATTTTTTATTTTATTTTTAATCCATCGCCCAACCCAATTAAATACTCAAGCCCAAATGACATTATATCATCCATTCAGCCAAACATATAATATCTTGCAACTTGAAAGAATGTTGAACTGGCGTGCAGGAGACTTTTCTTCTCCTCTCCTCTGTATTTCCAATTACTGCGGTTTCTGTTCACTGGCTGGCGACCACCGAATTTCACCATCTGTCAACTCGTCGACCAGCCACCACTCAGCCAGTTGGCAGACTCGGTCCTCCAATTTTGAAGGTAAAAGAAAAAAAAATAATTATGTTCTGTAAAATTGATGCTAGCTATTATGTTTTTTGTATNGTTTTCACTTTTCAGCATGCTAGATTTCAATTCAATCTACGTTTGCTTGTTGAACTTCTGTTTTTCCTTGACTCCGCTTTGTGTTCTGTTGTCACTTGGAGAGATTAAAGCTACTTATTATCTTGGAAATTGATGAGATATACTTGATTTGTAGGTTCAGAGGTATTATAAGATCAATTCAATAGGTGCATAGATCCAAAAGTTTGTGTTGCAATCTACATTGCTTTACAACTGTAATTTCATAATCCCTTTTCGTGATTGCAGTTTATAATAATGTTGTTAATCAATGACTTGCATAAAACACAGATTGATAATAATGTTGTTAATCAATGGACACATTTGGTTTATATTGGTATTATGATGATATTTGCAAGCTCGCGAAGAAGTTCTATCCGGAAGATTTTACAGCTCAAGATATTGTGGCTTTGGAATACGAGTTAATTCAATATAAGCTTGATGAGCTCAAGATTTTCCAGGCATCTACTCTAGTTGAATTATGCCAGAAATTAACAGAGAGTGGTAGATCGAAAGTGTATGTTATGTTAACTAGATTGATCCATCTAGTTCTGACATTGCCGGTTTCTACTGCTACAACCGAACGAGCATTTTCAGCCATGAAGCATGTGAAGACAGCACTTCGTAATAAGATTGGGGATGGTTTTCTCGAAGATTGTTTGATCTCTTGATCGAACGAGAGTTTACTAATAGTATAAGTATAGATTCTATTATTGATGAATTTTATTCTGTAAAAGCTCGTCGAGCACAACTTCAATGAATATTTGAAGAAAAAATATTATGTGATTTTTTAGTATTTAAAATTCTAGCCCAGTCTACGTTTAATTTCTGGATCCGTCTCTGTGTATGTCTTACTGGCGCTTTTGTTCTTGGATCCCTTATGGTCCAACTCGGGTATCAACAAGACACATATAACATTGCCTCATCTGCATCTTGCTCGCTGTAAGCCTCACGCATCATATAGCAAGTGTGCTAAATTATCAACACTACACAGAGTGTATTTGTCTTGCAGAAAAGATCTTCTCGCTTCGACTATACTCTTTCCGCTTTACATTTTATTGTAATTTTTAATTTTTCGTTTATATTGTAAGAATTAAAAAGATCTTATTTAATAAATTTACCGTTGCAACTTCACACACATATTGTAACAGTCAATTTACTAGTCATATTGTAACAGTCAATTTACTAGTCTTATTTTGTACCCAAAAAAACTAGTTTTATAAATGAAAAAAGGAAAATCATACTCTAATATTATTTGTTGAAACATGCAACTTGATTGATCCTTCAAGATCGATATAACTTCTCTACATCATTTTGATATTTGACTTGATGGATCAAAAGCTAATATTCTATCAATTATATTGTCCATAACTGAATAATGACATCAATTAATAAACAATAAAAATTGTATCTGCAATATCAATAGTTCTTTTAACCAACATTACTTGTCTTATTTGTATTTGAAAATTAATATATTAACTTTCATTTAGTAAAAGCAGCAGTGTTTGATCATCAAAGTTGACATAAAATTTGAGTAAATGGAAAATAAAGAATACGTCATACAGAGTTGAGATAATTGGCGTATAAAAATAAATAAATAAACAAATAACATAGGTTAGCGTTCTTCAAACCAGGACCAACTGAATCGCCTAGCAGAATAGGCAGCTTGCAACGGATGAGGAACAGGCTAAAGGAAATAAATAATTTTCAAAAGTATTTATGTAAATATATGTATAGTGATACATAATCAGTGTAAAAGAATCAGTGATGGTAATCTTCAATATAAGCAAAGATATGGCTGCAGTTGGTGTTGGACTTTGATCACATGATAATGGCAATCGACAAATATGAATGGCCAAATCTTGATACAAATGAGACGAATAATCGAGAGCACGATAATGGTAAGTCTCTATGCATCAGAGGATTACACAAAGACAACGACTGCTTTCATCTTCAGTGTCAGTATCCCCTGTTTCACTGAACCAAAGATTCTTCATCAGATTTAATTGNTAAGGAACTATGACATAGTTACAAAAGGTAAAGCAACACAAAACATACAATCCCTTTCTAAATTTGCATGAAATGATTCTAAGTATGACTGCAACAAAATGGAACCAACCTTAGTTTCATCTGCCAAAACTAGCTGATTTCGGCTTAAATGAATATTTCTCTTTATCACAACCAAAATACGCAAATGCCACTGCCACATGACCCACATTCGGTATTTATCGCCTCTAAAGTTCAATTTTCGAGCACAATATCACCATATTCTCAGCCGCAAATCGCTCATTGTTCTATTTAGTGCAAAAGTACAGTTTCTAGAACTCATCTCATAGTAGAAATACTTCCACACAATCTTTGCTATTGGATTGCAAACAATATATATTTACATCAAAATGTAAATCTCAAATTCCACAATTCTTCCCCTCCACCTTCATTTTTCTAGAGCTTGTAGTGAAAAGAACATCTAAAACCATGTAAACAAGCTTTGAATGTACCGCAAACATTTTTGCTCAAGCAGACAATTCACTCTCATCTAAATCTGTATATTTTGCCTAGCCCATGACTAATCCCAACTCATTACAAGTAACTAAAAATTTCTTTGTTTTTTTAAAGAAAAAAGAAATACAGAGAGAAACTATGAACAAGGCAACAACAATTTAGGGGTGAAGCATTATATCATGTAATGGCTATGTTAAATGGCACAAAATTAACAAACGGAGCAAAAAAAACAAAAAAACACCTGGACTCAAACTCTTTTATCTCAGCAAGTTCTTGTCCTGATGAATCAATCCATTTCACACTTCTCTTCACAGCCTCTGTGGTGGCATCAGGCTCATTGGGGAATTTCTTCAAACAGCTCTTGAGCACTGTATTCTCAACTTGTTGCTCGCCATTCACTTTCAAACCCTCATCAGAGGATGACTTTTCAAGGACATTAGGAACAGCAAACTGTTCTGTTGTTGAGGGCACAACAACATGTGGGTTGTTATCCAATTTCAATGGGCGTTGACTGTAAAGATGATGGGCTGCAGAGGGTTTGCAGAAGCAGATGAATGGGCACTTTATTTTACATAACAAAGCCCTCATCAAAATGCCTGCCTTCATCAACACTTCATTTTTTTTTTCTCTTTTATAATTTCTTACAAGTAATCCATGTCTGGTGAGGGAAAGGTGTGAAATTCATAGGAACAAACTAGGGACAAAATCAGGAAAATCCCCGCAGGCTGGCAATCTTGCAGGTTTTTGGGTAAAAAAGTAAGAAGAAAAAGGAATACGTTTTCAACTCATGGAAGCCAAATATTTGACACAAAAATCTCTTCTTGCAGAGATCAAAACAGGGAACATTTTCTCTCTCAAGAAAGAAGAGCTAAAAAATTTCACATTTAAGAGATGAATAAATCTTTGGCATTTCCTTTAATCCCCAAATTAAGCAGAAAATCAAGCAAATAATTTGAGGACTTTTTTATGCAGGTTTATGATGTGGACTTGCAGCAGACAAGAAAAGGTGACCACTCAAGAACTATAATTATCCATGAAGCTTGTATTTCTAAATTTAAAATAATGAGTGGGTAGACCCCAAAATAAAAAGTAAATTTTTAAAAAAATAGATGCAGGTCCAATGTCAGAGAAATAGATTCATTTGTCAGGGACACGTAAAAGTTAAAAGACCATCCTACCCTATTATAAAGAGACAAAACAACCATTCACGTCATTGGCTCCAC